TTCAATAATCTTCAAGTACAATACTTGTACCCAGTACAGTTAGCCATTCATTTGAAGTAATTTAGGATTCATATATATTATATAGTTTAAATAAAATACTACCAGCTTGTGAGATTTCTACACTAAGTATTGTAATGTTACCAACATGTGTATATTTGAAGAAAGTACTCATTACTTTGAAAAATACCCGATCCTTAAAAGTATTGATACCAAAGAACTCGATCCTCAAAAGTACTCGATACTTGCCAACACTAATTAAAAGCTCACTGTTATGTCGCACTTGTCGCCAGATACAAAGCGCTTTGTTTAGATACTTAATTGATTGATCAGGTGTTTAGAACAATTGGCCGATTTTAGAACGTACTCAAATGTTGTTTTGCCATGTAAATGTTGACAGTAAGCTTTTTTATTGTTTACGTGAATAATTGCTAGTCGTTGATCTAGCAGAGTGAGTATAAAGAAAGCGAAGCTTCTACTGAATCAATAAAAATTAAAAGCTCTTAATGTTAGCAAAATATAATAAGAATATCTATAGTTTATTTAGTACAGAAAATTGCCAATGAAGGATGATCTAAATAATTTAGCAAGTGTATTATTTAAAATAAATAAAAGCCTTTCGTTCTGTGAAACCTCCCAATAAGTGGCCCTCATTTATGAGGAAACGCACACCTGTGCTTTGAAGTTTAGGCATAGAAGAACTGTCCTTCCTTATAAAGACTTATGCGGCCCACTGCCTATTTGATTTACATGCCGTTTGTATATAAGACTAGGGGTGGACGCACCGGGCCATTGACGTAGTTGCAAGGTCATAGAAGATGAACTACAAAGTAGAAGAAGATTATCTACTATAATCAAACCATTTTCAGCAGAACATGCAGACATCTCTCAGGTGCGGATAAAACCATTGGCAAGGATTAAAGTGCAATAAAGTGATTCAGTCAGCTCGGCCTAGCTTAGAACTACATACATATGTATATACTTTGAAAATATTTTTTGCTTTACAACACTACCTTTGCCAAAGCTAAACTACTTTTAGTTTTTCCTTTCAAGAGAACCATTTAGATCAATAGAAAAATCAATATTCTGAATACGGGTTAAGTTAGGTCACAATGTGAAACAATATGCTCCTAAGTTGTATGGTATACCTGTTCTTCATTGAATCTGCACATCTCCAAAGAAAGTGCTATATTCTTTCCTGTTCGTTTTAATTCTTACAGATTTTATAGAGGCCCCCTGGCATGATAAAAACCGGCCAATGCCCAGTAAGAACCGCAACTAGACTCATAACGTCAGGTCTGGGGTTTTCTAATAATTTGTGTAATCTCTTCGCCAGTATATGTAAATCTATTCGAATGTTCAGTTTGATTTAAATTTCCTACAATTCACTACAGGTAATTTCGTACTTACAAAAATGAAATGTTTTCCTAATGTCGAACAACCATATTGATGTTACTAATAACCAGGGAACGGATTTTTAGGACCTAAAAACCTATAAAAAAGGCAAAATAAAATAACGAAATAGGCTGGAAAAGGCAAAATAAAATAGTGAAAAAGGCAGGAAAAGGCACTAGGTGTTGCAAAAAAGGCAAAAAAAGGCAGAACGAAATAGCGGAAAAGGCAGGAAAAGGCACTAAAAAAAGACAGAAAATACGAAGAACAATCAAAAAATACATGTATTTTAGAAATGTTTATATTATAAGTAAAAAGAGAAAAACTATGAACTAGGTTCATTATATGAAAAATTTGTACTTTGAATCTTTGGCTATTTTATCCTTTCGAGTTTCTAACTCATAAAACTTTAATCTGTATAGTTGTAGTAACATTGAACCACAAGATGCATTTTGAAGTTTTCTGGCAGCATTTTCATTCGATTTTCGCGAAGAAATGCCTTGAATGTACTAAATGTGTGCTCGACGTAAGTTGATACAAGCGGCGCCCAATTTAAAAATGGAACGTTTGAAACGTTCATATTATCAGGAATAAGGGCGTTTTCCTCGCCCTTTACAATTTTATCTACACCCCTTATTGTCTCCAAGCCTTCGTTAGCTGAGAAAACGGTATTGAATTTTTCCAACACCAATTTGGTAAGAGGTCTCTGCGCTTCTATAAGCCGCATGGGCAATGTGTATATTTTTTAATCTTAAAAAAAAATTGTAAATGCTATAATCACTTTTTTAAAGGTAGAAAAGGCAAAAAAAGGCAAATATCTTAAAAAAGGCAAAAAAAAGGCAAATATCTTAAAAAAGGCAAAAAAAGGCAACATCAAATGTGTATATATGGAATCAGGGAAAGCTAAATCGTGGACATTCTTAATCGAATATGCTCTATCTCGTTAGCAGAAAAAAAGGCAATTTCCATAAAATCCGTTCCCTGCTAATAACCTAAGAGATTAAGAAAAATAAAAGGAAAAAGTAAGTACTTCTAGATCTATGACACCGTGCAGCAAAAACCAAAAAAAAAATCAAGCAATCAATGTACTCACTAAACTAGGAGACGAATATAGTAAAACTCCGGTTCTAGTTTTTCTCTCTGGCGCACAGCTATTCTTATTCAGAAACGAACTCAAAACTGATAAGTATTTTCAATATATCTTCTATCAATATATCTTCTAAGCAAGCCGTTGAATCCATTTAATTCAACGAATCCGATAGTGGCACGTTCTAACCACGGTGTTCTTGAACCAAATTCAACTAAGTTGGTCTGGAAGGATGTAATTTCCAAATATTAATAATTTGAGGAGTCGTTACGAAGTCAGAATATGCAAAGTTTAAAATCGTTGCAAATGCTAATTTCAAAAAATTTCACTTTTTCGATTTCCACTCGAAATTTTCGCATTTCAAGATTTTTATAGCAATATATTCTTGATATCGGTTATTTTTATAAAAGTACATATGTCAACTAGGAACATTTCCAAATAACAGATTTGAAGTTTCAACCCTGTGCTTTCAGTGCGCTTTCAAAGTCATGTTTATAATTAGCTGTTATTTTGTCAGAATTATTAGTGAATTGCGGTGAGCTTGTGAAAGGTTGCGTTAATATAAATAAACAAAATTACATATGGAAAATAAAAGTCAAGGTATTTCTAATAATAATTAGTTAATGTGCATATCGTGTGTGTGTTTTTTTGTTGTTATTTTATGTGTTTGTAGTGCGTATTTAAAGAAAAATACTAAACAATATTTTCGTGTTCCGTGGAGTAGAACTAGCAAGCTGACGCGAACTAATAATAAAAAGCAAATTTTAATAATAATTGGATTTTATTTGAGTAATAACAGTTTTTGCTCATTTTGGCAAATTTTTCCAAAATTTAACATTTTACATAGAATAAAGCAAATTTGGAATTTTTTCACCACGCTAATGTTGAAAACTACTGAACGGATTGGTGAACATTTTTTAATAGAGGTATTATCTTTAGGCCTGAGAATTTCTATAGGCTTGCCATCTGTCTAAAAAATTACAAGATCCGCATTGCTCGTTGGATTACAAAAAATGAGGGGTCAAATGAAGGTGCTCGGCCTCTAGATGTCCAATAATGTATTATCTTTTTAGTAGGGTTGCCACCATTTTAAAAATTATAATATCTTCACAGTTAGTTGGACTAAAAAGGAGGTGCAAAGTGATTCGGATACGGTCCCCGAATGTGCAATAAGGTTTTATTTTTTTTTAGTGCGGTTGCCACTTGAATTGTGGCAATTAGGTAATTGAAATATGTATCACAATATGGGTGTCACACGTAAGGGGTTTAAGCAAGTTTTAAAAAAGTTTTGAAAAAGGTTATCGTTCAAAAGCAACGTTATATGGGGGGGAGGGGAAGTACGGGTTATCTGATCGCCGCAAAAATTTTGCCATAACTTGTTAATAGCATGAAGAACATACGTAACAAGTTTGAAAATGATAACTTTCTTTTTAGAACTTATATATGCAATAAGGTTTAACTTTTTTGAAAAGAGTTGCCACCTTATAAAAAATTACATTCAAATAATTTAAAAAAATAAATGTTTTTAAAATTAAATTTGTTTTTTAACTTTACTTTAGGAGGGTTGCCACTTGTTTAAAAAATCGTATTCAATTTGAATTAAAGAAATTAGAGAGGAGAAATGTGTTTAAACATATGGATACCAAACAAAGTGGAGGGTGCAGAAGGTAGTTGTTTAGAAAAATTTTGAAGAGGGCATGACTAAATCGGTTCAGCTCGACGTTGTGATCATATAAATATACATTTTCATGGGTCTGTACTTTCTTATTGTGGTACTTACAAACATCGGACCAAAGTAAGAGGTATAAAAACTCACACCTTTAGACTCCTCCGACGCCAAGTGTTAAGTTGTTGATATCATCAAAGAGTCATATCATCTACATATTTGTTGAGCCATAATTAATGTTTGTACAAAAAAATGGAAAATTTCCCATAGGGCAATCGTTCAATTTAATTTGATTTCAAATTGGAGATCAAACTAAAAATTTGGCATTTCTCGTGGTGAATACGAATGTCGGCTCTTTCTACTCGTGTTAAGTTAACAGCGCAACACCAAATGACTTTTTACATCATATGCTCCCAAAGCAGGGAATGTTAGGGGCCATTGCCGTATCCAACTTTATAAAAGATAGGAAATGTTAAATATTGCCAATAACAGAGAAAAACTGCTCTCACGTGTTTCACTAAATGAGTGAGTAAATATCGCATGCTCAGTGCTTCAGTTTTTCTGTGTGGTAAGCATTTGCATCTTTGCTATTTTATCGCATAAATAATTATGTAAATATGTACATACATATTGCATTTATAACACAAAGCAATAATACTTCTACTTTATATTCTTGTAAACATGTTTACAAGCACATTCGAGTTACAAGTGCATACATATGTACATATGCATGTATGTACATATGATTGTGT